TAGAATATCTGATCGCTAATTGCCACTAGATGGAAACACGAAGTGGCAGGAGAAACGGTAATACTTTGAGTAGCTCCTCTTCTACTCAGTTTAACAGATATAAACTTCCAAGTTCTCGAGTGGAGAAGTACAAAGAAGACAAGAGTCTCTGTCTTTCAGGGTTTAAATTTTGGTTGGGAGGTGATCGGAACCGCAACCCAAATAACGATAATACAAGGAGAATATATGTGGCATAAGTAGGAACAGAGAAAGTATTGAGGGTGTTTGAAAGAGGAAAGTAGCTTATTTAATGTGGAACGGCAGACATTTTACATTTTGAAGAGTGGGTAAAAATTTGACCAACAGAGTTGACATGGAAGAAATCTGTTCACCGCGAAAGTGTGACGATGGAATATCACATCCTGTGCTTGGGGGGCATGAATGGCCTGATAGGCTGGAATACAGGGGGTCACTACCAAGAAGAGGAGAGGAAGAGAAGACTAGAAAAGTAGAGTAGGGTCTGTTCTTTGAACCATAAATTGATAGATACCAAGGATTCACTGAAGCTAATTAGGGAGAAAGAGATGCCCGGAAGCATACTTTGGCAATACGGCACTGACCTTGCTTGGTTCGTACCGGACCTGGGAGAGATCGAAGGTAGAGAGACTTCGGGACGTGGCATTAGTCACAGATAGGAAGCCTGCTTTAGGGTGGAAGAAAATAATTGTGGGGGCGCAGCAGGACAAGGTAGCCTTTCTTCTGACTTTTCAGAATGAAATTGAAGAAACAAGCTTACGGGAATGATTTGGTCTCTGGTTGGGAAGATGTCAGGCAAAAGAGTGATCTGTTGGGCTGGCCTGTTCCTGTGGGGGCAGCTCTCCTATGGGGGTCTTGGCTCTTCCCATGCCCTGGCTCCAGGCCTGTCTCTTCCCAGATGCGGCCTTGTTGACACATCCGTTACTTCCCTGGCTCCTCTAGTGCTGATGTTGAAACCTCCTTAGAACAGTTGGTACCCTCTGCTTGGTACTCTAATTATTTATGTAAAAATAGGAATCCTGCTTCTCATCTTTGTATCCCCCTCCATCTAGGAGGACACTTGGCATATTGTAGCTCTGGAAAGAGAGATATTTAGGAAATTAGCCGTAAGGATTTTACTAAGACTTCTCTGAAGTTGGAAAACATATTTACTGGGGTGCCTGGGTGGCTTAGTCGGTTGAGCGTCCAACTTCAGCTCAGGTCATGATTTCATGGTTCGTGGGTTCGAGCCCCACATCGGGCTCTGTGCTGACAGCTCAGAGCCTGGAGCCTGTTTCAGGTTCTGTGTCTCCTCTCTCTGATCCTCCCCTGCTCATGCTTGCTCGCTCTCTCTCAGAAATAAATATTTAAAACTTTAAAAAAAAGAAAACTTTTTACTGCAGCAAAGAAGGTGAGGTGTAAAACCGGTTTGAAAGGAATCAGCAGAAGGACTGGGGGATCATTTGCACTGGACTTGACTAGCTTAAAATCACTGGAAAAAAATGACTGAATTCCCACATTTCTTTTTATTTCTATGTCTATAGAAAGCCTTTTGGAATGTAACATTCTTTATTGTTCTTAGAGTCTGCTACTTTAATAAGGATTTTGATTTTTCTAAGGACAAAAAAAGTAAGATAGAAAAACCAACCCTGTGAGAAATCTCAGACTAAAACACTCGTCGCTAGTGCTCGCTTCGGCAGCACATGTGGTCAAATATCAATGATGCTGAGATCAGCATGGCCCCTGCACAGGGATGACATGCAAAATGGTGAAGCGTTCAATTAAAAAAAAAAATTCCCTCCCAGGTTTTTTTTTTTTTTTTTTTTTTTTGGACACATTCCTATCTTTAAAAATTACTTATAAAAATTGTATACATGTACTATTATATCAGCATTTTGTATAATAAAACAAGAATACATTTAATTGTGATATTGAAAATTATTGTTGTGCTTTAATTGTATATGATCCTTTTTCTCCCAGAATTACCAAAATTTTTTTAAATGAGAGCCATGTAATTAAAAATGCTTTCTAGTTTAAAGTTCCTGGCTTTGGATGATACAGCAGTTGAATGCTCTGTCTCTAAAACTTGAATTTGATGCCATTGAGATGAAAAAGATACCTCGCAAAGATTTGTCAATTCAGATGGAAGAAACACATTGTCACTTCTGCTTAGTAGCTCATGATTGGTCCTAGTCACCATGCAAAATTTTTGTTGTTGAAATTCAGCTAGTACATTTCCATTTTTCATACCCTTAAACCATCTGTCCTTATAATCAAAAGGTGGCATGCCTGTCTGGCTCAGTCAGTAGAGCATGATCTTGGGGGTTGTGAGTTCAGGCCACATGTTGGACATAGAATCTAGTTAAAAAAAAAAAAAAAGGGGTGCCTGGGTGGTTCATTCAGTTAAGCATCCGACTCTTGATTTCAGCTCAGGTCATGATTTCACGGTTCATGGGATTGAGCTCCATGTCAGGCTTTACACCACTGTCAGCATGGAGCCTCCTTGGGATTCTCTCTCTCTCCTTCTCCCCCTCCCCCCCATATCTCTCTCTCTCTCTCTCTCTCTCTCTCTCACTGCCTCTGTCTTTCCCAAAAATAAATAAACTTTAAAAAAGAATCAAAGGTGTTTTAGGGTTTTTTTTAAGTTTTTTAAAATTTATTTTGACAGAAAGCAAGCGCAAGCACATGCAAGCAGGGGAAGAATGGCAGAGATAGAGGGAGAGAGAATCCCAAGCAGCTTCTACACTGACAGTGGTGCAGACCCTGACTCGGGGCTTAATCCCATGAACTATGAGATCATGACTTGAGCCAAAATCAAGAGTCTGAAGCTTAACTAACTGAGCTACCCAGGCACCCCTGTTTTAGGTTTTTTAAAAAACAGACTTTTGGGGCACCTGGGTGGCTCAGTTGGTTAAGCCTCAGACTCTTGATTTAGGCTCTGGTCATGATATCACAGTGGGGTCGAGCCCCACACTCAGCATGGAGCCTGCTTCAAATTCTCTCCCTATCTCTCTGCCCCTTTCCTGCTTGTGCATTCACTCATGCTCGCTCTCTGTCTCCTCAAAATATACATTTAAAAAAAATCTCGGGGCACCTGGGTGGCTTAGTCGGTTAAGCGTCCAACTTTCGCTTAGGTCATGATCTCGCGTTTGTGGGTTCGAGCCCCGCGTCGGGCTCTGTGCTGACTGCCAGCTCGGAGCCTGGAGCCTGTTTCAGTCTGTGACTCCCTCTCTCTCTGACCCTCCCCTGCTCACTATGTCTCTCTCTCCTAGAAATAAATAAAACATTAAAAAATAAATAAATAAATAAATAATTTAAAAAAATCTTCTCTTTGAAAAACACAAAAACAGACTTTCAAGACCCTAAAATTCTTCATTTGGAAGATTTTATACAGTATAGAAAGTATTTACAAGTTTTTTAAATGTTACAGATGAGAAGGTTTGTCCAGGATACTTAGTATCATCTCTGGCAGTTACAATTATGTAACAGTATTTCCCTGCATACACTTTTATTTTTTTTTAAGCGGCTGCTATGTCACTTACTGGTTGAGTTCTTGTTTGATTAGATTGACATTGATTTTTACCCACTAATCTGTTAGAGTAAAACCTTGCTCTAGATGGAAGCTTCATCTGTGCCATTTTCTTGTTTCACATGTGTTTCCACCGTTTGTATTTCCTCCAATTGTGCTTTTTCTGCCGGAGTCTTTAAGCTGCTTGGTTTTTTTTTTTTTCTTTCTTTCCAGATGTAATTGACATATAAGATTGTATTAGTTCCAGCTGTACAACACGATGGGTTGATATTTGGGCAAAATGATCACCACAGTAAATCTAGTTAACATCTGTCACCACAGTCACATTTTTTTTTCTTGTGATGACGGTTTTTAAGATCTCTTAGCAACTTTCAAATATGCAGTACAGTGTTATTCACTGTAGTCCCTGTGTTGTACATTATATTCCTATGATTTATTTATTTAAGACCTGGGGAAGTCTATCGTTTGAACCCTGTCACCCAGTTTGCCTGCTCCTGTACTTGTCTTTTTCATGAAGGCAAGATTAGTTCAAGCTGGATAAAACAATCCATTATTCCACATAATTGGTCTCTGATAAACCGGGAAATACCACAGTACCTAAGAGTGAACAAGTGAAGTGAGAGAACTTTGGCAGCCCTCTGTTTGGAGGAGGGAGGCTCCCACTTTTTCTTTGGGACGCACTCTGTGACATGTGACGGTTCGGCATTTAACCAAGGGAGGGTGCTATGTTAGTTTGCAACATGCCATCTGTAAAATGGCACCGGTGGCTGTGGCTCTTTGCTAGGGCTGTTGTGTGCGGAGATAAGACGATGCACGTACTGCTTGAAGCCTGGTACCTGGCACCCTGCCAACACGCAGCTCTCTCTCTGGGCTGCACACTGTAGAATCATGGTGGTGTAACCTGCTGCTGTCCTGGAGGTTAGGTATTCAGACTCAAGGACACCCCCTAAGGGTGGAATTGGCCTGTTGGTTTCTCTCTGCAATCTTTTTCTGTTTTTAAGATTTTATTTATAGCTCAGTTATTTATAACAAGAGTCAGTTAAGTGCCTGACTCTTGATTTTGGCTTGGGTCTGATCTCATGGTTCGTGAGTTCAAGCCCCACCTAAGGCTCTGCACTGACAATGTGGAGTCGGCTTGGGATTCTCCCCCCACCCACCACCACTTTTTCTCTCTCTCTGTAAATAAATAAACTTAAAAAAATTATTTTTAAGTAATCTCTACATGCAACATGGGGCTCAAACTCATAACCCCAATATCATAATCCACATGCTCTACCGACTGAGCCAACCAGGCACCCCTCTCTCTGCAAGCCTTAACATATAAAAGTGACAGTGAAAACAGTACGACTCTGGAGGCTTTGTTTTTTCTTTTGCTATTCAGAGACATTTTCAGTGCCTTGATGTGTGCAGCCTTGTATGATGTATTGACACAGGTCACTTTTCATAAAGGCACTAATAATTTTGTTTACTATGTCAGGAACAGTACCGAAGCATATCAGAAAACATCTAGAACAGAAAGGAAAGTACAGTCCCTGTTTGGATCAAGTCAGTTCCCTGAGCCTGAATGATGACTGCAGAATCCAGGGAAGCCACAGGTCTGTCCCCACAGGCTGCCCAGGAGAAGGATGGTATCGTAATAGTGAAGGTAGAAGAGGAAGATGAAGAAGAGCACATGTGGGGGCAGGATTCCAGCCTGCAGGAGACGCCTCCTCCTGATCCAGAGATTTTCCGCCAACGTTTCAGGCACTTCTGTTACCAAAACACTTTTGGGCCCCGAGAGGCTCTGAGTCGACTGAAGGAACTTTGTCATCAGTGGCTAAGACCAGAGATTAACACCAAGGAGCAGATCCTGGAGCTGCTGGTACTGGAGCAGTTCCTCTCCATCCTGCCCAAGGAGCTCCAAGTCTGGCTGCAGGAGTACCGTCCTGATAGTGGGGAGGAGGCTGTGACCCTTCTGGAAGATTTGGAGCTTGATTTGTCAGGACAGCAGGTAAGAAGAGGGTCAAACCTATTCTGTGTAATCAGCACTTGGGCTGTAAGCCTGGAGCAAAGAGAGAGTTGTAGTTTGAAGCTGGCACTGGTGGTCTTTGTGGCGGTTATTCTTTCTGCTCCGCTTGGATGCTAAGAGGCGCTCTGGCCTCCTTCCCCTGCACCCATTCACTATGCGTACCATCTTTTTGCTTGTTTAAACTCCTGTTTAAAAAGTGATTTACCCACAAGCCCACTGTTTGTCCTCAGGTCCCAGGTCAAGTTCATGGGCCTGAGATGCTTGCCAGGGGCATGGTGCCTCTGGATCCAGTGCAGGAGTCCTCGAGCTTTGACCTTCATCAGGAGGCCACCCAGTCTTTCAAGCATTCATCTCGGAAGCCTCGCCTCTTGCAGTCACGGGGTAAGAAGCAAGGTTTCATGTGGGGGAAAGCAAACTGTCTGGGTGCTATCTCTGTGTTGCTGAGGGCCTGTAATAAAAATTTTTTAAAATATGTTTGTTTTTCTTTTTTAATCATTACACATTTTTGTCATTATTACTAAATATTGGGGGAAACGAAACTTACAGCTCAACCTTAGGAGGTAATGTTACTGAGAAGGTAAATAAAATTGGGGTGGACATTACGTTATTCTTGGAATGGTTAGCCATTTTTGGATGCCCAGCAGATGTTTTTAACAGGAAAAATCCAGAAAGAAGTAATATGTTTCCAGCCTGGGTTTTGAAACACTCTTGTTAATGTCTTAAGTTGCCTTGAAAAGGGTCGTTTTTTAAAATTCATTTTATTTAAAATGTGTAGGAATGTTGTATAATGTCTTTTTCTTGCTTCCAAACATTTCAAAAAGTGAAGAAAGAGTGGAAAAAATATTTTGTTTTTTTGTGAGGAACATGAGGAAAAAAATCATTTCAGGGTCATATAAATAAAAATCAGTTTGAATTTTTTTTCCTTTGAGGGACATATTAATGTCTTTATCCAACATAAAAATCAAAGTAGGTATATAGAACATCTCTAAAAACAATAATATACTAAAAGTCTGGTTGTTTGAGAAGAGTTGACAAAGGCACATTCCTTATCCAATGTGTTTTTGTGATGGCATTTAGGGCGTGAATATTAGAGCTTCAGGAAACCTTTCTCTGCGTGCTGGAGAAATCTGTGTAACTCAGTGTGCATGGTGATGTTTGATCTACCACTGTCCTATCTAGGGGTTGCGAGGTCTCTCCACACTTCAGAAGGGGGGAATCAGAACATTGAAGAGGGTGTTTTTAGTTTTAAGTGCCAGATTAGAGCTTTCTGTCCCCAGAGTAGCAGCTTTAGAGACCCTGACACCTACCATTGATACTTAGTAAATAGATTTTCAGAGAATTCAGCATTTGCATTTATCCTCAAATCCCTCTTGGCACTACCCCTCTTCTAGAGTCTTCCTAGTTCTCGGAAGGCTAAAATGCTAGATACTTGTTCTTTTTGCACTTTTTGCTGTGGCTTGTCTTCTAACCACGTGGTCTGAAATAGTTAGAGGGTTCAGTTTCAAATTCATTTTTCTTCTATCTTTGCAGCTCAGTAGTATCATCTGTTTATCCAATAACACTTCCAAATCTCATATTTCTTGGCATGGGAAGATTTTAATTTTGCGGTTTAGAAATTTGTGTAGTTGTACTTACACGTTGCAGTTCGTGTGATCATCTGATTGATGTCTTGTATTAGATCAGTGGCAACCCACACTTTTATGTACTTGTAAATGTCTTGTAGACATTTGAACCATGTATGCATTTTGTCAGAAAACTGTGGCTAAGGGAGGGAGAAAAGTAGGAGCACAAAAAAATGGCCAGAAAAGACTCCCTTGGTACCCTGCATTCTGAGACATTACTATGAAAGATTGTTAGTACTCATGTTAATATTTTTCACAACTCAATGAAATTCTGATGCTCTGGTTCCTTGGACTGCAGAAAATTAAATTGTGAGCCAAACTTGAATCACGGACTGAATTACCCACATCCATAGCTGAGAATAGGAAGCTGGCTCTGCCATTCTTAACTCTGTGACATTAGACAAGTCATTTACCCTCTCAGGGCTTGAATTCCCCCTCATAAACTAAAGGGATTGGACCAGGTAATTTTAAGGACCCTTTTATGATGCCTTGTGGCTCCTGCCTAAAAGTCTTTTTCTTTGTTAGGCTCTCTGTAGTTAACTATTCTGTAGTTAAAACACCGAACGTTGAATATGCTAGTGCAGGAAAGAGAGTGCCCCGGGCCCTTCTTGGAGGGGAGGCCCAGCACAGAGCTGGTTTCACTCACAGCTCCTTTCTCCTCCCTCAGCTCTCCCTGCCACCCACGTTCCTGCCCCTCATCACGAGGGGAGTCCCAGAGACCAGGCGATGGCATCTGCACTATTCACGGCAGATTCCCAGGTGAGCTGTGGGCCCCTCTGCCCTCCTGAGACCCTCATGTCTGCCTCTCTTCCTGGAGCTCTTTTAGCCCTCTCCACCCAGGACACAATCTTGATGCTCCTACCCACAGAGTAGCCCCAGTCCCCCCGACCCCATCCACCAGAGCCTTATGGTCACCTTTTCTTTCCCAGCATCCTGCAGGTTTGCATTCAACTCTGTCCCTGACTCCAGGTTTGGGTGATGGGATTGTCCCTGAGCTTTGGGGGAACTGAGTGTGGGGCTCTCATATTATTTCAGGCAATGGTGAAGATCGAGGACATGGCCGTGTCCCTCATCCTGGAGGAATGGGGATGTCAGAACCTGGCTCGGAGGAATCTCAGTAGGGACAACAGGCAGGAGAATTATGGGAACGTGTTTTCCCAGGGTAAGACTAATGCAGGATTATTGCCTAAGATTGTTTCGCGTCTTTTTTTTTTTTTTTGTTATGGGATCTCGGATGTGGTCAGTTGAGAGTTGATAAGGATTGAGAGACTACTGAGCCCCTTTTTTCAGGTCAGTTAAGAGAAGGAGCGTGATTTTGTTCATTTAGCCCCCAAGGCCTGATCTGTGATTTCCTGATTCCAAGTGGGTTTTTTCCTTTTGGTAGTTTTTGCTTTAGAAATGAGAAATAGTTAAATACTTTTGAGTTCTGACTCCTCACCTGTTCAACCACTCTGATCCTAGGATTCTTCTCTGGTCCCTGTGGGTTGCAATGTAGGTGCCTCTGTCGATGGGGTAGAATCTGTATTTCCTGTTAGGTCCTGGTGAGATCTGATCTTTGGTCCAGTCATAATCTAGGACCACGTTCCTGGACTTACCAAGCATCCTCCCCTGGGCTTTCTATCTTTTTCCATCCTGCGAGCACAGCTCCACAACAGCTTTGTGCAGTTCGTGAACTTGCGCCTGTTACTTCCCTTATGATTAGGATTCCCAGTTTCCAAACCTAATGCTCATCTTCTGTGGAGAGGTCTGTTCCTGAACGAGTAGTAAGAACAAAAAGAAGTTCTAAGAGACATCATCCAGATAAGTTAAAATGACACAATTGACAAACATTCCCATTTGTCCCTGTAAGACCTCAAGCCCTGGAAGATGGTACATGAAAGCAGGTCCCAAATAAATAGTGTCATGGAAGGTCCACAGTGAGACTTCTTCCTGGGGGAATGCGGGATCGGGGGGCGGGGGGGTGTCACTGAAGGAGACTGAAGAAGGAACCTCAGGTTTTGTCTTGAACCATAGATATAACTGGGTGATAGTTTCCTGGTTAAGCCGAAGAACTGATCTGTGTTCATGAGCAGGGTATTAACCTACCCTGTGATAACTTCAAACAGTTTGGGAACTGTCCAAATAACTAAGGATTTGGGCTTGGAATTCAAAAGAAGAGGACCAATTCCCCGTTAACTTAAGAGTGGTTCAGTGTTTATGGCGATTTCATCACCAAAGTCAGAGGTTAGATTCTATTCAACTCTCCATAATTTCTTTCGGAGGCCTGTTTGGGATGGTGCAGACCCACTTGGAAAGGATTCTTAAAGCCCAAGTAAAGAGTAGTGTTGAGGGGGTGCTTGGGTGGCTCAGTCAGTTAAGCATCAAACTTTGGCTCAGGTCATGTCTCACGATTCGTGGGTTTGAGCCCCACGTCAGGCTCTGTGCTAACAGCTAGTTCAGAGCCTGGAGGCTGTTTCAGATTCTGTATCTCTCTCTCTCTCTGACCCTCCCGTGTTCATGCTGTCTGTCTGTCTCTCTCAGAAATAAAAAACATTAAAAAATTTTTTTTAATAAAATAAAGAATAGGGTTGGGATATCTGGGGTTTTTCCCTAGATGAGTATAGATATGTACACACACACACACGCACACACACGTGCATGTTTATTGAACAATTTTAAATCTCTATTTAAAAATAATGACATGCAGAATTTAGCAGTCTACAATAAAGGTGTATTCCAGTGTTTTAATGTGCTGGTTGCTGAATGAGAGGATCAGCTTTGCGTTTGTAAAATTTTGGTTTTTTACATTATCTCCATCATGGGCCATATCCAGAATTGTTTTCAGTTTCATTTCTGTTCTCTGTTATTCTCAGTGGTCAGTGAAGGTTCTAGTTACGCTTACTAATCCCCTAACCAGCTGCTTCACCCTCATCTCTGATAATTGAGCACTGTCAGCTCTGTGCTGCTCTCACTGGGGGAGATAAACTCCTGTGTCTTAAAGGCCCATGCAACCTGCCGAGTCCAGCGTTCCTTGTTTTGTCTGTTAACCATGAACTTGTAAAAAGCTCACAGAATTGGAGGAGTATTCATTTTTCTTTTATTAACTAAATATATGCTTTTCTTTGTGCTAATACCACTTAACTGTTTTCTGGAGAGACCTATCCATTCTCTTTTTTCAAACTTATACTTAACATTAGAAATGGAACATGATTTTTTTATCATACATTCCTTCAAATTAATTATGGGGTGACCAGCCATAGAGCTGTGAATGGTGACCTCCTGCATTCCTCATCCCTTCCTTCCCTAACTGGTCCTGTCCCTCTGCTCCCCCCGGGTGCACACTCCCGTGCTCTCCGCGTGCTCTCCCTGCTGCCCTTCCATTCAGCCTGCCCTCCCCTCCCGCAGCTCTGCTCCCTGTTGTCCCTATTCTCTTCCCCTGTTTTTCTCCTATTTCATCCCCGATGGATACTATGAGACCACTTCGCAGGCATTGAGAAGCTTCCTGGAGAACCATGTCACTTGATTGATTACCCCACATGTTGAAAAGAAAATAGTGCTATTTGTATTTTCTGTTGTGTCAGGTTGTGAAAACAGGAATGAGAATGAGGAGTCAGCCTCAAAGGCTGAAACCGCAGAAGACTCAGCATCACGTGGGGAGACAACAGGAAGATTCCAGAAAGATTTTGCAGAGAAACGTGAACAGCAGGGCAGAATAGTAGAAAGGCAGCAGAGAAACCCTGAGGAAAAAACCGGAAGAGAAAAGAGAGATTCGGGGCCAGCTACAGTCAAGGAAAAAAAACCCACCACGGGAGAGAGAGGTCCAAGGGAGAAGGGCAAAGGATTGGGAAGAAGCTTTAGTCTGAGTTCAAACTTTAACGCCCCTGAAGAGGTTCCAACGGGAACGAAGTCCCACAGATGTGATGAATGTGGTAAATGCTTCACGAGGAGTTCAAGCCTTATTCGCCATAAAATAATCCACACTGGAGAAAAGCCCTATGAATGTAGCGAGTGTGGGAAAGCCTTCAGTCTTAACTCAAACCTTGTCCTGCATCAGAGAATCCACACAGGAGAGAAGCCTCATGAATGTAATGAGTGTGGCAAAGCCTTCAGTCACAGTTCAAATCTCATTCTCCATCAGCGAATCCACTCTGGAGAGAAACCTTATGAATGTAACGAGTGTGGGAAGGCCTTCAGCCAGAGCTCAGACCTTACTAAACATCAGCGGATCCACACGGGGGAAAAACCCTATGAATGTAGTGAGTGCGGAAAAGCTTTTAACCGAAACTCATACCTTATCTTGCACCGGAGAATTCACACGCGAGAAAAGCCGTATAAATGCACCAAGTGCGGCAAGGCCTTCACCCGGAGCTCGACCCTCACTCTGCACCACAGAATCCACACCAGAGAGCGAGCCCCTGAGTACAGCCCTGCCTCTCTTGATGCCTTTGGAGCATTCCTGAAAAGCTGCGTGTAAGGCAAGAATTTGTCAACAAGCTATTTCCCCCTTCTGTTTCCAAAATTACCTTAGAGACGTGTGCCACGGAGGGGAAAAAAAGGTGGCCTCAACAGATTAAAAGGAAAAGTCACACTTAAGGATCCTTGTAGCTACATCAGCAGTGTTCTGCCTTTGCATAGTCTGTGGGCATGTAATCCCTCCACATAGCCCCTGCAAGGGAAAGCTAGTCACATGGAGAATCCTCATGATACTTCCGTACAAGACGAAAGCACACATAACGGCAAAACGTCAAGCTTTTCAGTAATGAGGATACCTTTTAAGGCGCTCTTGGCCTCATCAACCACAATACAGAATTGAAAGATTAAGATTGGCCCTGTGAAAATGATACTGAGGTTTAAAGCTGCTTGCCGCAAACAAACCCTACTTGGCCAGCATCTTGCTATCCCTTATTTCTCAAAGAAGAGGAGCAGTTGAAACAAAAACTGCATTGGGACATGCTGCTCAAACTAGTTCTAGAGACGATAAGTTATATGTGTGATCACTGGTAGCCTGCCAAAGCTATAGAAATCTAGGACTGTGCTGATCGGTATCAAACCAAAGATTTCTGGCTCTTCCTGAATGAGGGTACATGCACCAGTCTACAGTTCCAAAGGACTGCAACAAATGTAGATGGCTCTATCCTCATCACTGAGATAAATCCTACTGAAATGGCAACAATAATTCAAAACCCTTCTCTCCCTTCTCGAAATCCCTAAAGCACTATGGCACTCCTAAATGCATTTCTCCACAAGCTAGCACTTGATTGTATGCTGTCTTAATCCTCCATTGCTTCGTGTATGAAAGTTTTCATCACCACCACCCCTCACACCCCTGGCAAAGAGATGCTTTGATCGTTAGGGGATATATTTACATCCCCATCAGTGCTGGACACAGTGCTGAACACCTAAGACGCACTCATTATACCTGACTTCTAACAGGACTTTCTATGCTTATGATAAAGCCCTGTGTGAATCATGAGTACCTGAAGTATGGTAGCCTGGCCCAACTTCTGAAGAGGACCTTCAGTGTCCAAGGCATGCGAAAGCTCTGTGATCTGATGCTGTTTTTATCCTGAATATAAAAGAAAGGCGCTGGCCAGCTGCCTGTGTAGACTTCCTAAACACAAATCTGTGAGTAAATACCATGGAATGTCAGAATGACTTTATCATCATTTTAAGAAAAATAGGAACATTTACTAAGGTCAGTTTTTGACATCTTTCTGTGGCACAAGATCTTAGCCAGAATTCTCTTAATTCAGCTGATCATTTAGGCACTTTCTGACTCAATTGTAACTAAATAATATAGTGCAGAAGCTGTAATTTTTGTTGCTTTTCAGAAAAAGGAAACACGTAGAGTGCATTTCCCGCCCTTCCCCCCCCTTCCAGAAGCTTTGCAAAAGCATTTGATATTGTTAGCTGGAAATTATCAAGCAAGTTTGTTGCTCTGAGGAGCTCACCAACAAGCTGAGACGCAGTTAGGTGTATCGTAGGTGAACTGCACAGCGTCTTTTCTGTTTCTCATCCCTGAAGACTGAGGTGAGGTTCTGAAACTCATCTGTTCCATCATCTGTGCGGGAGGAAGCAATTGACTGCCTGGAAGCTAATGGCAGGCGGTTTTCAGATACACATACAGGAGACCCAGGTAGCATGTGCTACATAGACAGTCCTCAGGGACTTGGGTAGAGAGGATTCTGCTCCTGAGAGCATGCAAATGATGGTGGACAGACTAGGAACTTAGTAGGAACTTAGGAACAGACTAAGAGCAGACCTGAAGACTCACCCTCATGGGAGAACCCCACATAGAGTTTGAGGTTTTCCATCAAGAAACAACTAAAACTCATTGACCGTTGTTCAGTGACCAACAGCTCAAGCCTGGGAGACAGCATGGCTGTATGGGGAACCAGTGAGGTGGGGACAATTGTGGCCTCAGCTCCAGACCGAACTAAAAATTCTGCGCAGCAGTAATTCTTTGGCCTCTCTTTAGAGCTGGGACTGACCACAGCTCCCCTGTAGCTTCTAAGCAGTCCCGTCAGTATTGCGTGAGGAAGCTTCAAGGAAGTCCGCTGGTGACCAGACTATTTCTGTCCGTCCAGTTTCAGACCAACAAAAGAGATACTCCAGAGGAGTATACCTGCATAGCTTTTTATAGTCAGTGAAGGTGGAAGAAGTGCTTTTAAGGTTTTCTTCAGAGAGGAAGCCACAGTGGAGGCTTCATGGCTGGTGCTCGTCAGCAAAGACTTGCCACTGGGGAGCATCTTGAGCAGCGAGCCACTTGACCCCAGGCATTATTCAAAGCACTGACTGTTCTGGAGAGGGAGGGAACAAACTTCGGTGGGTTCCACATTGCCCCCCCCCCCCCCCCGCCGCCTTTTTTTTTAGCCACAACTCCATGCTGACATTAATTCAGCCATCATTTTTGGGGATTTTTTTTTTTTGGTTTTGGTTTTGGTTTTGGTTTTGGTTTTGGTTTTTAAAGGAAAGTTCAGTCCAGCCTGTGCCCTCCTGTTTCTCTTCTGTGCTGACCACAGGGGGAGCCGTAGCAGTTGCCTCATATCTTCAGCAGATGCACTTCTGAAAGCAGCCATTTGAAAATGTGTTTTTTTTGGGCGGGGGGGGGGGGAAGCAGGTTATGTCTGTTTATGAAAACCTTTCATATCGGTCCATTTATTAGCTGCTTGGTGCAGAGTTTAATTGGGTCATGATCAGAAAGGCTCACCACATCTCATTAGTGTGTCAGGACACTCAGAAGTTCTTGACGGTCTGAAGCCTGTTAACAGTTTAAGTTAACTACCCCGTAGTTAATCATTAGCATGCTAGTTGACCTGATGGAAGTTTTTGAAGGGTTTTTGAAGGATATACCTTAAATATACCTGCCAGGAAGATAAGTAAAATTCTTCAGATTTTGGGGAATTTGTATTCCACCTGGCAGGCAAGACTCCAGCCTGAAAATACAGATCTCTGAGGCATCTTGATATATAAGACACTTGGTGTTCGTTTAAAGGCATAAAAGTGAAACTGTGCTAAATGTGTACAGACAGCTCGCTGCATTTGATATGTGAGACCATTGACGTCTTATGTAACATCAGAAAACTCATTCCAGAAAAGAACCTCGAGAATGCGATAAATAATGGCAAAGCCTTTCATCACATCTCAGCCCTTAGCATCCAAAAGCTTACACTGTAAATAAACTTTATTAATATTGTATGTGAGGAAAACTTTCATGTATGCCACTCATTGCTTTGGACTGAAAATGAATTCCGTCAGTACGTTCCAATCATGTAATGAATTTCAGAAACACTGCAGAGGAAGCTCGATCTTAACTCCAGAGGATCCACAGAAGAAAAAAATGTGGGGAAATGCTAAAAAGAAGGCAAAAATTATTGTTAAAAAATTGTTCATGTTGGGTACTTCTGTATATTTTGTATGACCACAATGTCAGTGTCTTGTGTTTTGTACCTTCAATCCTGGTTGTTATTCTGTGTTTTCCCTGTAAACAGGTAATGTATTTTATTTTAATCTATTTGACAGACACATCACTCCAAAAGAGCAAAACTTCTGGAGTGAGTGGTGAAGGAGTTGATGTGGTTACAGACAAAAAGTCGGTTTACAGAACGGAGGAGGGGAAGAGGAGAGAAAACCTTCAGAGTTTGGTGCTCACCAAATCAGAAGAGATTAGTAGATCCCTTAGAGAGACAGGTTAATAGGGCTCTAAAATGGAACAGTTCCTATAAACATCTGCAGCTTCCCGCACGTTTTCTCTTCAAAGCCAGGAAGTGGACCTCTTAGCTGCCAGCTCACCATTTCAGGTGAAGAAAATGGGTTCTCTGAGTTTGTGAGGTGGGGAAGAGGGGCTTTTCCAGGAATCGAAAGTAGTGCACTGGAAAGCCCCAGTGGGACCCCTTAACCTGACCTGCTCATGTAAATCATGGTCCTCCTTCACCCACTAACTCTATGCTTAGGCAGTTTGGGTTAGCAGAACGCCAGGATGGGCCCTTTCCTGGAAAATAGGCACAAATACATCCAGTTCCTGACATGGCAGGAAGTTTTTCTGATAAGGCTTTAGAAGCGTTGTGTAGTATTCGCTTTGGCTGTGCTTCTATGTACCTTCCCTGCACCCAGTTACTTCCCGTGATTATTAGAAGGCTTGTAAAGATTCATAGCTGTGAAGGAATTTTTTCCTCCTTTTTACTCTAGAGTTGATCACCTTTTATTCCAGGGTCTGGTCACCCTGGTGTCTTCATCTGAAGCTAGCTAACCAGGTTCGTCCTACCATCCTCATGGAAGATTTGTTATGTAATGGGAATAACAGTATTAAAATGTAGTCAAACAGTGACAGCAATACTTGCCAGAGGAGCCATATTTTTGTGTGTCCCACTCTGAGCAACTTCTCAGAAATATTTATGAGGGGGCTGGGTTCCCCATCTGGGAAACCAAATGAACGTCTGTCTGCAGGTTGCAAAGTGAAATGTAGAGTCAGAGAAGAGGAAACTAAGTGGTATAAATAGATCTTTTCATAGAAGTTAGAGTAGATTTTTATTTCAACTACTACTGGAGAGTTTAATAAAAAGCATTATTTGCAGAGTTTTCCTAACCTAGGTTTAGGTTTTGTTTTTAGAATGGACACACTACTGTACATTTAAAAGCAGTTACTTATTTTGCTATTCAAATTTTTTATTATATCTGAAGATGAAATTATCTGTTTTACTTTTCAAAGCTTTGTAAATCAAACTTGAAGTTATAGGGAGGCTAAGCCATCTCCAATTCTGCAGGTCAAACAAAAGTTGGACAAGTAACTTTGGACATCTCATACGACAGAATGTCTTAATGTGAGAACTTGGTTTCATATTGTTCCGTTTGACAGTGGATACCACAAACCTCATGTTTTTCTCTTATCCTAAAACAGTGGAAGATAAGGAGAGACATGAGGTTTGACTTCTAAACATTATTACTTTAACAGCTTTTTTTTTTTAATGTTTGAGATTTCTCCTCCATTTACTTAAAGAATCATGGCTTACTTAGCAATTAATTAGCAAAGCTAATTGGTCTTCAAGTTCAAGTTTCTCCCTTCAGCAAGCACTCTTGAAGCAGTGAGGCTGCGTGTTTTAAGACAAAAAAATGAGACCTGCGAGTGATTGAAAGGTGGTTATAAAACTCAGATTTCATTCCAGTTTCAGATTTGGGTTTTAAGTTTCTTGAGTCAGGGAAGAGACTAGGCCGTTGCAGTCGCCCCGACTCAGGTGTGTTTGTGCTCACTCGCCTTCCTCCTCACCTCAGCCTCTGACCGGTTTAAGTAAGGTTTCTTTCTGCCCTAGCGAGGACACAGCGTGTTAGGCTCAGACCTGCTTCTGCTAGTAACAGGGGTTCTTACATGAAAACACATAGATGGCGCGGGGTGGGGGGGTGGAGGGGAGAGAAGGCAGATGGTGATTGTGCAGGAAAATCTTGGTCTAAATATAATACGAGTGTAAGGGTGGGGGGTTACAAGCAAAATCAGCGACTATTTTAAAATGAATATACTGTATTTTTATTAACTTGTAGTTAAATATAGATGATTACAACCAGGTCAACATGATAAGCCTAAATCTATATAGAGAGCTAACTCAGGCATTGTCTTGTTTATCTGTAGACTGGATAAGACAAACCTTTCCTGTTCTGTCAGTCCCTAGTTTCTTAGTTTAGAATAAGTTAGAGCAAAAGAAGAAACGTGTCTTTGTAAAACCCGCAGAATTAACTTCTTGCTGTTTAAACCTGGCTTCTCATTTCACTAGTCTTAGGAGAGTCCAGATGCTTGGTAGATGTTCAAGAAGTGATTTTTAAATTGAATTTGTTCCTTTAAAATCCTCATTAACCTTTCTAGGAAGGCTTCTTTGAATAAATAATAGAATCTTAAAGGAAAAAGAAAAGTGGTTTGTTTTTTTTAAAAGCTAGGGAACTCTATTGAAAATCATTTGAAAACTTGATTGAGGACTAAAGTTTCCATCACGAGAAATGGCAGCACAATAACATTTACATGCATTTATAGTCAGTGGTCCATTGTAGGCAGCTGGTGGTGTCTGACGAATGTTAGAGCAGGGAGGTTGGGGAAGGAGATTGTGGGGAATTGTAATAAATATCTCTTTATGTTATTTCTCTTCTGGGTCACGGTAAAACAATAAATTATCACCTCTAGGTGGCAATGTTGGTGGCGTTTGATTTTTGTCCTCCGTTGCATAAATACACACTTTTTGGGTGAAGAAAAAAGTATAATTTCAAAGTTAAAAACAACTGCACCCCACAGACCCCTCTTCAGACCCATGAACGTGCTGTAAGTAACGGGAGCAAGTTCCAGGAGGTTTCTCAAAAGGAAGGTAACCAATGAAAACCCATGGCGTAAAGTAGCTCTTCATGATACCCCAAAACACGATTTTCTCATAAAATGGAACCAGTAAAATACAACCTTTGACCAATTTGTGACACTGAAAAAAAATTAACACCCTAACAGTTGTTGCAGCCGGTGATCTGTTCGGATCTTCACACTGTGACCTCTCCCCTGACATCGTGGTTCTGTTACTGCACGGTATGGTGAAACAAACTCAATTTGATTTTTTTTACTTTGTCTCATTTAAATGATTTATTCACCCTATTTAGAAACCAGAATCAAGGTGCAAAACGTTCTAGCTGCTTTGGTTTCAGGGTCCTTAAGGACTACTAACTCCTACCCTGCCTGCTTTGCAGGGCTCTAGAGGAATATGCAAACTTTTTTTTTTTTTTAAGTAAATAAAAGAAGTAAAAGGTGCACATGTGAAAAAGACAAAACTATTTTTTATGCATTGAACTTCACAATTAAAATCCTCGTTCAGGGGAACTTTCCCCTGTCCTGTCCAAAGGTCTTAGCGTGGGCCCCCCAGAGAGCAGAACCTGAGCTGAGGGCTTGTGTGCAGTTGATTTATTTTAGGAAGTGATTCCAGAAAACCGATGTGAGGGATGAGGTAGGTGGGAAGGAAATCCAACCCATTATTGAACTTGGTCACTGCTGTGGAGGATGGCAGATTGCAGCCCCTAGCTGATAAAATCAGCCTTGGGGCACCTGGGTGGCTTAGTTGGTTAAGCATCCGACTTCAGCTCAGGTCACTATCTCGTGGTTCCCGAGTTCGAGCCCCACATTGGACTCTGTGCTGACAGCTCAGAGGCTGGAGCCTGTTTTGGATTCTGTGTCTCCCTCTCTATCTGCCCCTCCCATGCTCACGCTCGCTCATGCTCTCTCTCTCTCTCAAAACAAGACTTTTAAAATTAAAAAAAAAAAAAGTCAGTCTTGGGCACAGAGAGGACTGGAACTTAAACCACAAACTGGGCAAACTGGAGCTCCAAGAGCCAAGAGTCTGGGTTTCTTCCAGAAGCTTCTCTCCTCAACTTTTTACTCTGTGGTCCAGTTCAAACCCTGGTGGCTGCCTCCCTTTCCTCTCTTGCTGGGGCTTCATAACAACTGCAGGATGGAAACAAGCAGATGTGGCCACCTTCCTTCCACCTGTGGCTTGGTAGACACTCCTATTCGTTGCTGGAGTCTTGGGTTCCCAGTGTGGGTGTCTCCTGCCCTCCAGTCCCCTGTGCTGATCACAACTTCACTTCACTCTTTCTCAGCAGATGCCCGTCAGTATTCTTTCCCAATGGCCTGAGGCCACCGGGACGTGCCTCACTGCCTGGTCCTTCCTGCTCCCTGGAGCCCCTGGCCTTGCTCTCTGGTGCCTCCATGCTCCTCCTCACCCCTCCAACACCTGTTCTACGTTTAAATAAGCACACACCTGTAGCTTTAAGGAGCAAAAGCAAATTTTTAAAATCTTTCATTTGACTTTGTCCTTTCCTTTTGAGCTACCAAATTCCTCTCAAGTGGACCATGACCACTGTTATCATCTCTTCCGTCCTGATCTCCCTCTTAAAACTCCTGTACTTCTTCAGCTCTTTCCCAGCAGCTTAAATGGCACAATAGGAGATCACAGAAGATCTTGATAGCATTTTCTTGTCTTCATTCTCCCTTTTCTAGAGCATTTGGCCATTTCCTTGAAACCTGGTCAGTGTCTTGTATGACACTATCCTTTGGTGGCGCTCTCTTCACTCGTGAATAATAACCATGAACTATTTTTTGTTTGCCAAAAAATAGTTGCCTCATTTCACAAGTGCAGAAACAGGCCTAGAAAATGAAGTTGCTTACCCAGTAAATGGCAGAGCTTGATTTATTTTATTTTATTTTTTAACTTTTATTTATTTTGAGAGAGAGCATGCGCAGGGAAAGGGCAGAGAGAAAGGGAGAGAGAGAATCCCAAGCAGGCCCCGCACTGTCACTGCAGAGTCCAAGCTGGGGCTCAAGCTCATGAACAGCGAGATCATGACCTGGCCTGAAATCAAGAGCCGGACGCTTAACTGACTGAGCCACCCAGGTGCACCTATTTTATTTTATTTTTTAAAATGTATTTACTTCTTTATTTTTAAGTAATCTCTCCATCCAATGTGGGGCTGCACTCACAACCCCGAGTCACATGCTCTTCTGATTGAGCCAGCCAGGTGCCCCCAGAACTAGATTTTAAAACCAGAAATGTGACTCTAGCAACCATTCTCTGTTATGAGCTCAGTTCTCCTTCCTTCATAAATCATTTACATGATCTCAAAACTACATTTTTGGAATAGCCTTACACAGTGGTTAAACGGACACAGGCCTCGGATGGAGCCAATTTGCCCAGGATCAAACCCTTCATCCACCACCTACACTTGTTTGCTGTGTCTTAGTTACATTGTGCAAAATGGGAAGAGAGTTCCTATAAGCATTAAATGAGCCATTTCATGTAAATCGTGCAACAGTGCCTGACATAAGTGTTCCAAAAATATGTCACCTGTTATTTCTTCCATCAGCCTCTCAATCTCTCCTGAATATTTTTTAATTTTTTTTTTATGTTTTATTTATTTCTGAGAGAGAGAGACAGCGTGAGCAGGGGAGGGTCAGAGAGAGAGGGAGTCACAGACTCTGAAACAGACTCCAGGCTCTGAGCTGGCAGTCAGCACAGAGCCCAACGCGGGGCTCGAGCCCACGAACCGTGAGATCATGACCTAAGCAAAAGTCGGACGCTTAACCGACTAAGCCACCCAGGCGCCCCTTTTTTTTCTCCTGAATATTTATTTAGCCCTCACAAAAATCTCACTTTTCTTTTTTAAGTGAAACATTCTGGCATGTTCTCCATCCCACGAGTCCCTAAAACATGTAACTCTGAAATCAGGTCCTTGTGAAACTGGGGACCCTGGCTCTGGGCCCATTTCGGTCCCAAATGTTATGTGCAAAAATTTCACAAGGCCTCTGTGATTAAAGTTGCCTCACTCCTTCTTCAGCTGATTCAAGTCCCTTTGCAATCCCCAATCCTCCAATGAACCAGAATTTCCCCTGGAGGAGTGAAAATTGCTGCCCAGACTTAAAGGGGCCCTTTCTTGCTTGTCCCAAACTACCCATGTCCCTTTGACAGTGTTGTTACCACCGCCTCCAAAAGTTCAGCGTGGCCTCTACTCCGGATGCTTGAACACAGGAGGTGGCAGTCTGACTCTACCCTACCTGGGTTATCTTTATCAGCATGCCCTACATTTGGTTCTGGATTGCACATTTTAAAAGAGAAACAGTCCATGTGCAGGATAATAAAAGCAAAACCACCTCGTGTGTACAATAAAGGATTTTTATTTTGGGTATTTTTTTTGTTTTTATTTTTTGCTTGGTGAGGAGAAAACACGGGGAACTTGGTCTCTTCCCTCAAACACCTAAAGGCCTGTCATGATAAAAGAGAGATTCAATTTATTCTGCAGGAGTCCCAAGACATAGAACCAAAAAGTCTTTGCAACAAACACTGACAGGCCTTAATAAGAAAAGGACAGAGCAACGGCAATGAGTAAGGCAGATGAGTGAAGGGGCTCTGCCTGGCTGCTACCATCACGTGTGAGAAAAAGGCACCCCTTCCTCCACTGCCTTCTGCCAGCAAGTTGTGATAACCACACAACCCATTGATAACTTCCAGATAATAAGGTGACTGCTGGCCCCTGGGGTGGTGGCAGGGTACAAGTTGCATAACCAGAGTAGCCCTTGTGGAAGCCACTGGAAGAAGAAAGAACCTTGATGCAGGGCCAGCCAGAGCTGGGAGAATTCAGGCACTCAGGTATGGCTGGGGGATCCTTTGGGGGGAGTGGGGACAGGAAGGAATTTTGCATAGGAGAGTCCCAGGCAAGATGCCCTTTGTGATCTTCTATTCTGACATGATGCACATTTTTTTTTCTGGGTTCTTCCAGAAGCTAGGGGACCAACCTGCAACCTGCACTTGCAAAAGTCACCTCTTATGAGGGAGAAGGTAGGTGACTCCCTCCAGAGAGGGCAGATTTGAAAACAGTAGCTGTGATGGGAGGAGCCATATCTATCCCTGGGGAAGGGGATGTGGAGGCCAACATTAAATCAGAGAGGGGATCAGAAGTAATATTGTAGCCAAGAATACTTAATGATAGAGAACAAACTATAGGTTGATGGAGGAGGTAGGTGGGAGATGGGCTGGATGGGTGATGGGTACTAAGGAGGCCACTTATTATGATGAGCACTGGGTGTTGTATGTAAATGATGAATCACTGAATTCTACTCCTGGCACCAATATAGCACTGTCTGTTAACTAACTAAAATTTAAAAAATAAGGGGTGCCTGGGTGGCTCAGTCAATTAAGGGTCCAACTTCGGCTCAGGTCATGATCTCACGGTTAGTGGGTTAGAGCCCAGCGTCAGGATCTGTGATGACTGCCAGCTCAGAGCCTGGAGCCTGTTTCAGTCTGTGACTCCCTCTCTCTCTGACCCTCCCCTCCCCTGCTCATGCTGTCTCTCTCTCTCCTAGAAATAAATAAAAAAAAAAAAACATTAAAAAAAACTTTTTTTAATTTAAAAAATAAATGAAATGATCAGGTTAAAAAAATAATACTGTTTCCAAATAAACATTTTACTTTTTATTTTATTTTTTTTTAATTTTTATGTTTTATTTATTTTTGAGAGAGAAGGAGAGACAGCATGAGCAGGGGAGGGTCAGAGAGAGAGGGAGACACAGAGTCCGAAACAGGCTCCAGGCTCTGAGCTGGCTGTCAGCACAGAGCCCGATCCGGGGCTTGAACCCACAAACCCTGAGATCATGACCTGAGCTGAAGTCG